TTTTAATAATTCTAATAATAATTCATATAATTTCTTTTAATAAATATAAAAATAAAACTTACATTTTGATCAAACAAGAGTCACGCAAAAATTCCATGCTATTATAGTAACACAGTACAACACGCATTTCTTCTCGTGAAAAAATGAAAGAGATTATGAAAGTAGACATAAAAAAAATAGCGTGTTTCGGCATTTTACCAGATCAAGTTAACGTATTTTATGCAGCCATTTATTGTATTTGCTTTATACAGGCTTTTTACAATTATTTTAAATTATATAATAATTTTTAAAATAAATAATTGACGTTTTTGCATGTGAAATTATGCGATGAGTCCGAATAAAAAAAAATTGACAATGAGAATTATTTTTTTTCATATATTTTCAAATTTTTATTATTATTATACAAAAATTTGGAAATATATGAAAAAAAATAATTTTCAATTGTTTTTTTTGTATTAAAAATTTAAATCAATTGAGACTATTTTTATTGAGAAATACAGAATTTTTTACTCTATAAGAAACTGTTACGTTAATATTTTTTAAAATTTACTATGGGATAAAAAAACCGATAAAATTGATGTTTTTAAAATGTCGAGGAATTGCAATTAGTATCACGGCTAAACGGTTCGCTTTAAAGAAAAACAAAAAATGGATCGTTATATTTTTTTAAAAAACACTTTCGCGGAGTATAAACAATATCGAAGGATATAGGACAAGATGTCATGTCGGTTTTCGAAAGAATCACCCATATATGTATATATCAATAGTAGATAGTGACAACGCTCTACAATTATCTTTAGGTCTTGCAGGCCCTTTTGGACGAAAAAAAATGCACAAACTCTGATTAAATCTACTGCATGTATAATAGATTTAATCAGAAAAGTAGTAGACTCAAGCAGAATTTTGGATCGATTTATTTCCCATCAGAATTTCAGTTGATCCAATTAAATATTTTTCTGCCTAAAATGTAGGATCCTTAATCCGATGAGTTATGAATGAATGAAAACTAGACAGATGGACGCAATGATGAACTGAACCTTCCCGCTTTTCCGGAAACAGCGGACGTATAACCGTTTCCGGAAAAGCAGTCAGTTGACTGGTCGTCCACGGCGCTCCTTGGGCGCATTCAGCGGACTGAACTTGAGTCCACTGAATGCGCCCTTTAACGCGCGCAGCAGGCAGTGCCATCACTGTCGTCGCGCGTGAACGCAAGTAGGACAGAAGAAGTAAGTTGCAAGGGTCCACTGTCCACTTAGCGTTCGATCACCGTGGCGACGGTGAGCACGCAACACGCAAGCACTTCGGGCGGGACTCGCCAGCGGTCTGTGGCCAGCGTGCGCAACGATCCAAAACAGTATTACGCTTACGCTATTTATAAGTGTTTGTAAGCGAGCACGTACAATGGGACACGCGTTCGTCTGTTTCCGTTACTGCCTCGTCGCTGGTGCGATCCTCCTTGGCGTAAGTTCTCGTTGATTCTCGTAAAATGTAAACTGTTTATCCACAAATCCAATCATTGCGGCACTGATGTCAGTATTGTCCCCTTCCGCATCCTATCATGTCTCATTCGATCGAGATCAGCACATTCTGCACGTTCGCGAAGAGCCTAATCATCCGGCCTAAATTCGTAGCTGTTTGTGGCTCATATATTTGTCATCGCAGTATTCGCAGCTGTTTATCTTGCCTTCGTGTTTTCGATCGAGATCCATTCAGCGTGCCATTATTGTGATCATTCGCGCAGCCGTTGCCATTCGGAATAGTTCGGAGATCGCGCGTGCATTCGTGCAATGCCGTTGGTGGGGCTTCGTTCAAGGGAGCGGCGCCAATTCGTTTCTTTGCAATTCGCAATTTGCGTGCAAGCGTGCAATGCCAATGGTGGTAATGTTGGGGAAATATACAGTAGGGGTACACTACGGGTGCTTTCCATTTGATAACACAAGTCGATGCAAGTGTCATTCTATCTTTGTCACTCTCTGAATGTCAAGTGGTCTGTTTTCTGTTCCTGCACTAGACTGCACTAGAATTCTCTTTCTCGCTTTCGACAAACATATACCTATTTCACTTTAATTTCCAAAAGTGTACACTAGTTTGGCCACTGAAAACAGACTTAAGAAGGATAGAACGACGCTTGTGTCGACTTGTATCGACTTGTTATCAAATGGAAAGCACCCCACACATGTGCGTCTATGACTGCAGTCAAAGTCTCGCTACAAATGCTTTGAAGCATTTGATGGATCAATTAGAAGAAAGAATTTTACAAATTGACCAATTAAAAAACGCTTCAAAGCGTTTGCAGCATCGCGTTGACCGTGCCCTATGTTCGAGCAAGATTAGACGTTATTCTATTGTCCGATTCACTACCCTTACAACGCTTAAGAATTATTTCATTCTTTTTATTTATCGATGTTAAACAAGGACAAACGATATCCATGAGTATCAAAGCTCCAGACGATTTCAACCTATCAGAAACATACACTAAAATATTCAATTTCTGATAGGTTGAAATTATGTTATTTCTGTTGCTATCGTTATTCTTTCGCATTAGCTGCGTTCAGAGAAAATTAATCACCATTTAGTGATTCTTTAATATTGGGTCATCTAAAAAGTATCCGCCGTTTTTTGTCACTAGATGTGTGTTGATGGTCATATATCTAGTGACAAAGTACCGCGGATACTTTTTAGATGACCCAATATGATTGATTCTTGCCTTTAATCCTTCGTCTAATAGTATTTTTCACTGATGCGCACTTAGTATACTTTAAAGCCGTTGTATACAAATCGACGTAAAGCTGTACGTTTAATAAAAATATAGAAACGAATTAAATCGCGAAATCCTCAATACATTTTATTGTGGTATTTAATATCACAATATGATAAGATATATATTGAGTATTTTATTAATTGAGATATCTCACTTTTACATTCAGGTTAGTGCAAAACAGCTTTAAGAATTGGAGTGCACTGAGTACGCTCCAATTCTGCCAGTGAAAAACGCTAAATGTAGGAATTAAAAGAGTCACTAAGCGCTAACTGATTATTTTTCTCTACTGAACGCAGTCATTAGATCTGTTTTTTAGTGTTGGTGCACATGCATGTGTCAGTGCAATAAGTTGAAGTGAAATAAATACGTTTGTTTCACTTCAACTTATTGCACTAGTTCAGAGAGTACAGCAATAGACCTATTGTGTCCGGGACTTAATTACTGTGAGCGTGAATCGAACCACGGTCATTATTGAGATGAATTGAAAATAAGAATTGATTATGAGGAAGGATTAAGAGAATTAAATTGAAATTGTTGTATGAGATTATTACGAAAATTTATCATTTTATTTGTTTTAAAAGCAATACATGGTGAGGCATTTAAAACAGGTTATAATATTAAAATAATTTGCTTGTTTTTAACAATAGAAAGAAAAGTGCCAAACAAAAGTTGTATGGTTTCAAAGGAGACATATTTTGGTCATGTTGTCTTTCTTCTAGGTGGAGGCGCTAAAAAGATATGAAGGTCACCTTCATTTTTTAAAACGGAATTGTATGATGTTTTTACACAATATGGTTCCTGTAATTATTCTGCATGTGAAAGTATTAAGTGATATAAAAAAATCAATAGTTTACGAGATATTTTATACTTTATTCTGTCATATGTTGACTTAAAATATTAAATATCTCATAAACTATTAATTTTCTTATAATCATATTTTAATATTTTTATTCGTACCTTAATACTTTTATGAACAAAATAATGAAATAAATCAAATGGAAAGAAAACACAGTTGCTTTAAAAAAATATGTATGCGAAATGGATAATTTTTTAAGTAAGCAACTATTTTATTATAAGCAATGTATTTTCTTTTCATTAATTGATTCATCTTATTATTCTGTTCATAAAAGTATTAAGGTACGAATAAAAAAATTAATAGTTTACAAGATATTTAATATTTTATTATAACACGTGATAGACTAATATATAAAATATCTCTTAAATTATTAGTTTTTTTTATATCACTACCTTAATACTTTTATGTGCAGAATAATTAGAGGAAGACAGCGTATTCTGTAAAAAAAAATCACATATTTCTACAACATTTATATAAGAAAAAATCAACAATTTAATAATATCAAATTCAACCGGATACCTCCCCGGATAATAATGATATCCGACTATCCGATCGAATAAAAAAGTCGGATAATACCGGATATTTTCCAGATATCTGGCATCCCTAATATTTTAGAATTCTGAGTATTCGAAAAATTATTATTTTTGTGATGACGTCATAAAACAAGATGTCTATATAGTTAATATCTATACACTCTGGTTAATGAAAGGCAACGAGAGTTGAAGGAAAACGCACTAATTGCGGAACAACCTCAATTAATACTTTATTCTGTTTAATTGTAAAAAATATCGCTTTGACGTCAGTGTAATAATGACATTATACAGAGTGATTGAAATTTGGTAATCTAAAAGTACTAAAAAGTGGGATTATTATAGCATGTGCCAAAATTTGGAATATAAATCAGAAATATTTCAACATTTTCGAACAGTTTCTGATTCGTCGATGTAAAGCGTCTATTGTTGTAGAAGGAAATCGAAAAGAAACATTTTCCAAACATATGTTTATATTATTTTTTTTCATTCTTAGGAAAAATAGTAGAAAATTAAAAGTAATAAAAAAGGCTCTGTACTTATAAACAAAAGGTAGTATAAAAGAAGGGCAAAGAGCCGATAACGTATAAAAGAATTTTAATTTAAATAAGCAAAATTAATACAAAACAATTAAAATAAAATAAAACAAACGTTTCAACTCCAATCGAGTCATTTTCAATGCAATCTTACAATAATATAAACATCGTTCTAAATTAAAAATTCGTACGTAATCTTACAATATTCTTACAATTCCTTAATATAAAATTTTTTCTTTCTGTGTAATACACTGCGAGTCATTTTTATCAAGAATTAAGAAAATCATAAGAAAATTCTGGAAAAGTAACCGTAAACAAAAAGAATTAATATTAATCACATAAAAATTAGTAATATGATAATGTACCTTAATAAATCTGTTAAGAGTCCAATAATACACAACGAGAAAAAAATGTAAAATGTAGTCCATTTCATGGTACAAAAAAATAGTCTTTTTAATTTAATAAGTTATTATAAGCAAATTCGCAAAGGTAACAAGCATCTGACTTACACGATATCAAAAAACGAAATGTCAAGCAGAAAAACATTATCGAGAACGGAAAACGGAAAAATAGGGGGAAAAAGAAAGAAGATGTTAGAAAGGAGAAAGAGAATGTATAATGTCAGAATACAATTCAGGCAAAGACTCTGTGTTTTATCTGTTTATTCCATGTTTCTGTTTTTTAATATGGACCATTTCAGATATCAACCTTTTATTGTATGAAGGCTGTATATCTAATATGTCCACTTTATCCCATTTAAAGTTGTGATTCTCCTCAATACGGTGGTTGGAAATCACTGATTTTGAACTTATATTATACTTACTTATATCTGAACTTATATCTGAAACATGTTCATGCAATCTGGTCTTTAATTGTCTTTTAATTATTCTATTATGAATAGTCGAAAAAATAAAACGTAACGGATACCCATTCTGTAAAAAAATCTTAATAGTGTCAATCAAATTATTTTGTTGGAATTTCGGATGACACAAACAAAAAATCTTATCTACGACTCCATAAATTACACCTCTTTTATGACAAAGTGGATGGTGTGAATGGAAATTAAGAAATCTGCCGGAAAAGGTTGCTTTACGGTATATATCAAAAATGAGATTCCGTTCTTCAATAATCAACATCGTATCTAAAAAACTTATTTTTCCATCAAGGCTAGTCTCCATGGTGAACTGCAATCTAGTGTGTAACGAATTAAAAATATCCAAACACTCTCAGACGGAGCGGCTAAGATAATATCATCAACGTATCGATAATAAAATAGCAATCGACAAGGCAGCATTCCAATAGTCATTTTTTCAAAGTCCTGCATAACAATATTTGCAACAACAGGTGACAAAGGTGAATCCATGGGGGTCCCAAATAATTGCTTGTATATTTGTTTGTATATTTTTTTAATAGTAGAAAACGCTAACAGTGAGGCTACTTATTTCATTATCATCCTGTATAATCAGCTTTTCTTCTAAATATTTACATTACACATATACACATTTAGATATTATTTTATTCTAGTGATTTAATAAAAGTTCTTTATACTTGAAATATATACAGGAAATACAAACACATAACTACAAATATATACATTTTCCGAAATAAAAAAATTTAAACGTGTAGTAATAATCTGTTTATTTGAAAGAAATACAGCTTGAATTAGTCAAAAACTAGTCAAAAACAGAAAAACAAAAACAGGCTTCAATTCTTTTGATGAAAAAAAGAGAATTAGATGAATTGTTGAAAAAGTCCACCTTGCACCGTAATACATCTAT